GCTCAGCATCTCTGGGAACTCCTTCAAGACTGTTGGAAAACCATTTCAGGTGACGACCTCGTAAGATAAGATAACTCTTTCTTTGTCATTGCACAGTCTTACTTACTACAATAGTTTAATGAAATTGGAAACTGTCCCATATCAGCACAAGTCAACACAACAAAACACAACACAGTGGACTTTAAAGTGGCTTTAAAAAAGTGCAAGAAAGGTACGAGCAAAAACAGTAAGTGAATGTTTATTGCACATTATTATTTTCGCCCCAAAAAGTCCAACGAAGTAGCCAATCAGGTCAGCTCGTAGCATTGCCCTGTCGTAAAATCTGTCCCTGAGTCTGTTTGTCTGCGACCTCAGCAGCATGAATCTCTGAGCGTAAACACCCGGTGTCCTGGCTGTGTGCAGTCCAGTAGGATGCTGCATGCCCTTTTGAGACAGTGAGTGCTGTGCAGGTCCTTCAAGGAGGGAAGAGGATGTCCAGTGATTTTTTGGGCCATATTAATGACCCCATGAAGTGCCTTTTTGTGTGCAATGGTGCAGCTGGAGAGAATTCATTGAGAGAATGCCAAGAGTGTGCAAAGCAGTAATCAAAGCAAAGGGTAGCTTTTTTATTTTTTGAGTTATTTCACACTTTCTTGTTTACCACATAATCCCATATGTGTTCATCCATAGTCTTGATGCCTTCAGTGAGAATCGACAATGTAAATAGTCATAAAAATATATTAAATGGGAAGGTGTGCCCACACTTTTGATTGGTAGTGTAGATTGTAATGCTGCTGCATCATTTTTTGCCCAAATTTGAAAGTATGGACACCAAAGCTTTGTTTTTACTTTTAGACTCGACGGAAATAGAAATGTGTAGAAAATGTGGACATGTTATACTGCTCTGTATGCTAATATTCAGATTTGTAACTGTTTAAATAAATCATATGCATTTAAAACAGTCAAATGCATTAGAATAATATATTAATTATCAACAAGCTGTTTGTCATATTGAAAGAAATGCAGCCCTATTTAATGTTACTCAACTCACAAGGCCCCAGTGTATCCAGGTGCGCAGAGGCACTCGCCAGTCTGGTGATGGCAGGTAGCGCCATTAAGGCACTGGCACTCCAGCAGGCAGTCTTTGCCATAGAATTTGGGGTCACAGTGCTCCTCACAGCGCCAGCCCTGGTAGCCATCAGTGCAGACACACGCTCCTGTTATCGGGTTACATTTGGCACCGTTGCGGCACTGACACCGGTTACTGCAGTGTGGACCCCAGAAGTCACTCTCGCAGCCTGTAAAGAAAAGGGACTGGATGAGTCATTAAACATTATTTAAAGCTATAAAGTGTGAAGCCACACAACGGATTATTTACTTTTAATTTCCAACAGCAAATTCACAATTGCAGTGAGGGGTCAGCCGTGAAGCGAGGAACCTACTGCACTCGTGGTGTCACAGCTTTGTCAGTCTTACATGAAACACAACCTGAGCAACTGAGCTTTATTATAAACTGAGCAAAATTAAAAAACAAACAAACAAAAAAACACAAAACAGACCAACTCAGTAGTACAGAATAGGCCTAAAATAGTAAATAATAAAAACGTTTTTTGCCACTGTAAACATGGAAACTGGCCTGAAACAGCCACTTAGTGTGCTATAACATCAGGAACGTCTTGAACAGATAAACATGTTGTGTACTTTTTCAGGAAACTACCAGGACTGTGTTCTATTCTTAGTCACAGTGTGGTAGCAATGTATTTTCAATTAAAAACAAATGCTGGAGTCCATAGACTGCACTATTCCAAAACCAAATTGAACAAGATTGTTCCTAACGTTTCCCCCAAACGTGATAAATGTAAACTTGTGGACGGTACTCTTGGCCATCTTTTTTGGTCCTGTTCTACGCTTACAGCCTTTTGGACTAGTATTTTTAGTTTCTATAGCATTGTTTACGATAGGCAACTGTATCCTGACTGTCTTATGGTGATCCTGGGCTGCTCCAGCGACTCCTTGG